TCGGCCGGGTCAGTGTTCCCTCCTCACAGGTCTTATCCGCTCCATGGTTCCTTCTTCAAGCTTCGAGGTTCTGACCATCCAACTTCTCCCTATAAGCCCTGGTCCCCAGGAAGGCAGCTTCTCCCTGCTAGTGCTCAGTGCAGTGCTCATCAGTGTCACGTACAGACAGTGCTAGTCCTTGAAATGTGAGCTGCTGCTTCACCAGAATGTAAATGAGCCACACCACCAAGCTCACTGTGTAGTTCAGCTGACTTTTCTTCATAGGTAGACTTCCTCAAAAAAGGAGCAATGAGCTGATTTACATTCAGGTCAGCTCCTTATCACAGACTGCTAGCAAACCATCAGCAGATCAATTACTTAGAGTAACACAGTGTAGTGGCTCCCCCTCGGTGAATGATTCTGCATATTATAGTCACTCCTAAAATAACTCCTGTGGTTTCTGTCTTCTATGGAACACTGACTGATAGACAGGCTAGGTATAGCTATATTTTGAGTAAATTCTATATTTTAATTATATACATGCATGTGTACAAAATGGATTGTGATATAAAATGCACCATAAGGCAAAAAAGTTGGAAATACATTAGCCTACTATGTAGATTATAAGAAAAAATAGTTACCTAAATCCCAGTTGCACATATATCTGCATTGCCTTCCTGTGACGCAGTATTTTTTAAAAAAATAAAGGAATTAAAAGAAAAATATTCAAAGAACTCCATCCAACACAAACTTCCATTTACAAATGAGAAAGAAGATAACAGTAAAAGAAAGATAGCTTTCTCTATTTTTAAAGGCTTGATATGTGGGATCTTTTGGGACCTAGGAAAATATGTTAATTTGTATGAGTACACTGTGTGGAAGGATTTCAGAGCACCTGAAGTAATTCTGGGTCTTCTTTTATAAAAGTACTTGTCTCTGTCAATCATATTAATTCATAGGCAAAGAATCATTTGTGTCCAGCAATTAGGGGAACAGACTATTGAGCCAGGCTTATCTTCCACTATTGAAATATTTCCTACTAAGGTAGTAATAACTTTACTTAATAGTTCACTAACATGTCTGGAAGGTCAATGCCTTCTAGAGTACACTTCCATGATCAAAGTGAATGCTATCAAGAAAGGCAGATCTAAGCTAAGAAGCTAAGAAAACAAAGACAACATATATGCACACCTGAGCATTATCACATCACTATAAATGAAGCTCATTCCCTTATGTGTTATCATGGAAGCTACAAAAACATCTTGTTGATTTCATATAAATAAACATAGATACCTTACAGGGTATCTGGAAATTGTAAAAATATAGGGCTAATTATTTCATCATAATATTATAGAACTATTCATAGGGCAAACATTTAATTTATCACCCAAACTGGGTCATCTGAGTATAAGGGGGAATTAACCCTAAGCCTGCTTGTCTGGTTACCCAGCTCATGCAGAAAGTCAGCCCGTGTATTGCCCCAAAGATACATTTACACATCAACTAGAAGAACTATGACAATGTAGATTAAGTCAACTCATAAGTCAAATGAAAAATAAAGTACGATGGATGAATAGTTCTCTGTGCTTCTAGGCATCTTACATATGAAAACATAATTTCTGTTTCATAGGGTCTTATTCCATGACATATCCTTTGGCTTTGCTCAGAATAGCTGGAATATTTTTAAAAATAAAGTACACATGGCAACCATGAAAATGTGCCTCTTGGATCTTGGATGGCTGAGAGTGTAATTGGCCCAGGGCCCAGCTGCTGTGCTCTAAAATCCACAGTTATGTTTGCATGAAGGCCATTATTGGACAGGTTGCTGGCAGCCAATGACCGAGAACAACAGGAATACTAAGGACAAGCTCATTTCTGGGAGACATAGGTCTCCTTTGATAGTCAAATGTGGCTCCAGGACTCCACAACAGCCTTACTGAACTTTCCTTAGAAAGGCACAGCAGTCCTAGAGCTTCGCCCAACTTTCTTTCCTTCCTTCCCTCTCTTCTGCACTCAGGGTCAAGCTTACATTGTGGTCGGAAGGCTCTTCCAGCTTCCCTTTGACTCCCTCCCTATTTTCTCTCATGGGCATTTCCCCTAACGAATTTCTCACACATTTAATCTCTACTTGGTGTCTCCTCAGAGGATTAAAACTAAGACAGTACAAATGTTTATTGACATAAACCTAGTTTATATGTATTTAAAAACTCTTAACTGCCTTATTCCTAAGTACAAAAAAAATATTTTAAAACTGAGAGCACTTAAATCAGTCATATTTACACATTGAAACTCTACTATAAACCCAGATAAGTATGTATATTCTTCCCATACAATTAAGCCAATTCTAATATGAAAAGTTAACAGCCTTTGATAAAACTTCAGCATTCAACTTGAATGTATTTCAATGGCAGAGAAAACTGAAGCTACTCTTACATAGAGATTAATACCTCATAGACTCATCTACAAAATAAGGTGTTTAGGTTATATGCATAACTTTTGCATCTAAAAGTTTCAAAATTTATTTATTAATTTATTTGTTTGCTTTGAACTTTTTAAGATTCTCTACCCATTATTGAGGGTGCCTGGTGCTTTGCATTTGATAAATATATTTTTAACTGTATCATAGAATTTCAGGTAGAAAGGGTTCTTAAAGTTACTTAATCCACCCTAGAAGATGAGATGTATCAGGTTCATTTGACCTAAAGGCAGAAGAAAATTGGACACTGCAAGCTGCCCATTTTTCTAACAGTCCATTTAATAACCCATAGTTTTGATGCCAGAATTAAGAAGCAGCTGTGGCCTCTCATCTCTTAATATTGGTTCACTACTCTGCCATTTTATTCTAAGACATGTAGGGCATTGTGAAAATCTGAATTACCTTCTTTTGATTATTTCTGCTGTTGCCTCCATAATAATTCTGTTCCCTCTCAGGTTAAACGAACAAATATATTGTCTACTCCAAGAAAGTTAATAGAAGTATATTTTCAATATCCATTAAAAAGTATTTAAAGTTATATAATAGAAACAATGACTACATTGGGTCAATTTTGCTAACCTAACTGAAGAAGGAAGTCATTTGGAAATCATGCTGAGGTTAGGGCAGACTGGTGAAGTGGAGAAAGTACTGGAATGAGAGAGAGCAGTGTGTTTCATTTTACTTTCAACTTTAATAAACTCACTGTGTGACCTTTGGAAGGCCACCTATCCTCTCAGGGTTTCTGCTTCCTCAGCTGTGAAATAAGAAGATTGAGCGAGATGGCTTATGAAGTCCTCCACAGCTAGTTCAGCGGCATGGATTCTATGTGCACTTTCCTATGACTAAACTAAACAATACAGTTCATCCACAACTGACTGCCCCTTGAATAATATTAAAGGAAGAAACCCGAAATACAAATAATTCAACGTGAAGAACAACATCCAGTTGTTTTTTCATTTTTTTAAGCATTTGTCATAACTAGGGTCAATTTGAAAGGGAACTGGTATAGTTTAAGGAAAGATAATTTTCAAACAAATGCTCTGCTGACAGGCCCTCTTACAGCCTTCTACAGAGCCACTGAGGACTTGGAGATTAAAAGTACTCTTGTTCCATTTGTTTAGGGACAGAGTAAAGCAGAGCAAAGTGTCAAAGTGCTTCCTGTTCTGATGCCGATGGCCAGGCTGGCTATATGAGGGCTATAATAGACCATGTCCTACAGATCTAGGGGAAAGGACAAAAAAGTGCCCCTGGCTCTCACTATCTTTCCTTCTCACCATCAAAGCCCTTCACCAAACAAACCCCACATGAATTCCAATCCTTGGCCTCAGCAAGGCGGCGTTCTCATGAAGCACAACTCTGCCATGTGTGCCCAAATTTCATGCAAAGCTACTTCCTTTTCCAAGGTAATGAAGTTGTAAGCATAACAGCTCTACAGTCATTCTTTCCATTTTTTCCCTAAATAAGTTTGAAAACTAGAACAGTAGGGTTCCAGAATAAGCAGTTTCTACCACATTTATTTACCCAAGTTGAACATTTCTTCATACGTCAAGCCTATAGAATGAAGCTCATCCTTTTGAATCAATTCAAATGGCCTCTGGGGCATGTGATCTTATTAAGTGAAAAAATAAGTGTAGTTACTAAAGGAAAAGGCAACAAGTAAAAAGAATATTTCCTTTAGGAAAACATGATATTGGGAAACAGCCACTCTTCATAACAGAATTTGCCGCAGGCAGAAAATATCTTATAACTCAGACTTTAAAAATAAAAATGTATTTGCCATTTTCACATCAATGTTTACATGAAAATTCACTAGTAAGGCATACCACTTGGCACAATGCCCTATTTTGGAAAAAAAATTTTTGAACTAAATAAAGATAATACTGCTATAACTTTAAAGGTTAATAATATAAAATATTTTAAAAAACAATTTCCCATTTTCTGCAAAAAAAACCACTATTGTTAATATGTGCATTACTATGAGAAATAGGTCTTCATGAGTCTTGACTTTAATAAGCAGCCTCAGGAAACTGCTTTCATAGATGCAGGAATTGCAAAGCAGCAGGGGAAAGACAATCTATGAAAAGAACTGAATTTTCCACCAGTAGCTGATGTTACCCCCGTTAATAACTATGAAGACACTAAAATATAATTTCTATTGGTGACAATTACAATGATCACACACATTACAACTGATTTTTTCAAGTTGTGTGATGTGTGAAGTGTAAACTAACTGCTTTCAAAGCCTCAGATGGATTTTATGAGGCTCCTAAGCCCACACGTAATAAATAACCAGCTAGAGTGGTCAGAGGGCTTAGCAACATTTTTCACTGGAAAAAGAAATTATTTTCAAAAGTATGTTAGGTATCTGTGTAAAAATTACTTACTATAAAGAACAAATTGCAAATAATCAAAAATAATGCACAAGTAATTCTTAGGAAGCCTGTTATGGTTGTTTAAAATATTTCTACTGTCACACAGGAAAAAAAAATGAGATCTAGGCTTACAGTTACATAAGAATTATATAAAATAACTTGGCATATCTTACCTTTTTCAGGAACCGGACTCCATAGGTAAACACATAAAGGTAAAATGAAAATCTCCACCTGTAGAAGGTTAAAAACAATTCTATGACATTCAGTTTATATATTTCACAGCATATTCTGAAATACGTGTTTGAAAAGTCCATTAAATTTGCAACTCCATTCCGCCCCTGCCCCAACCCGAGATTAAACTTAATACGCAACTTCAGTGCTAGCTGAACACATACACTCATGTGCACGGCTTGCTGTGAATGTTTTAAATATGAGTAATTATATTCACAACTTAAATTTCCTTTCACTTAGTTAATGTATTTGCCCATTTGCTCACCTTCTCTTTCCTGCATGTGAATTTCCTCTTGTTAATCACTCGTGAAAGGATATATTTCAACAATATGAAGCTATATAAGATAGATTTGAATTCTGTCTGATTCAGATATTAACTTAACTGAAGTTCATATCTGTTTTAAAATAAAAACCTTAATATTTTTAAATCAGGTAAGATATTTTTCTTCGTTTCTTATTTACAGATATTAATCAACATCTTTGTGGATGTTACTAAATAAAGGAACCCATCTGGACTCTAAATCATCCATCTGATGTACAACTTAATGACAACCTTATACCATTCCAAACTGTAGGTCTAGCTGGTAGACTTACACTTTTTTAATGAGGAAAAAAATTTTAAGTTTGTCTTTGATTTTAAATGATTTGTGTAAGTCTTCTAAAATATGGCTTTATTTATATAGACTCTAAATAAATTAGATAGCTAGATACTACAAGAGCACTCTTACCCTAGCACCCAATTCCCAACTTTATTTCTCATATTTTCTAAGTGTGAACAGCTGTGCCTGTAAAAGGGGCTATATTTCACTAAACAGCCTTTTTCAGGTTATGTTATTAATGGTGTTAAGATACTGAGACTTATAAGTTGTAAATTAACTCAAAGGAGGAAGCGACTAGTCAACTTCAATTTGTCAGGAGGCAAATTGCTTTTTGTGTTTGCAAGCCATATAAAAATTTCAAGTGAGGTGAAAAAAAAAAAAAGGTTATTCTAGGAGATGATTCAAGTTTTAGACAAAATTTTCTGATTGAAATGACAGCTACCTTCAAGTAAGAGACAGAGTAATACCCAACAGCAAACACAAGTGTCCTTCAGAGTTTTGTTCCTGGGTTAAGCGACTCCCCAAACATCTGAAATTAAAGTCAGAACTAACATTTAGAGAAGAGCTTAGAACTTCAGGGTTGAAAATCTTCAACTAATAATTCATAAAACCTGAATGCAGTAAGAAACAATAAAAACTGATGGAAGCAGTAATTATTCAATGAAAGTTTCCAAACAATGTAGAGAAGCAATGGTTCTAAAATCTCATGCAAAAGCTCCCTTGTAAGTAAAGGTGGCTCACTTACTTACTGTGGAATCAAAATCAAGGACTTAATTTTGGCTTTGAGGTTTTTTTTAAATTTAAGTATAGTTAGTATGCAATCTTATATTGGTTATATTAGTTTCAGGTGTACAATAGATAGATGAATAGATAAAGAAGGTGTGACTGGACAAAGAAGGATGAATGGATAAAGAATGGACTATTGCACAGCAATGAAAAGGAATGAATTCTTGCCATTTGTGACAATATGAATGGATATGGAGGGTATTATGCTATGTGAAATAACTCAGGCAGAGAAGGACTTAATTTTAACCCCATCTCTCTCCATTATCAGTTTTTGGTGGTTGTGGGTAAGAGTGTATGTTTCTTTCCATTTGGGTGTATACAAATTCTGGATCAGAAGCCAAGAACAGGGATGGCTTCAAGGGCATGTAACTTGTGCAAGTACGTAGCTGGTTCTGGTTAAGACACATAGATTCTCCAAACTTTGGACAGATCTATTAATATCTATTAATATCACTCAACTTCAGTTCCATCTCTATAATGGGAGAGTAGGTTTATATTGTACTGCTTTTGATATTACACTGGTTGCCTGAGGATTTAACAGCAGAAGTAATCCCTACTTCTCTCTAGTCCCTCTCACTCCCTATTACATTCATCCAGCCTACTTCATGAATTTGCAGGCCACTTTTCTGGCCCTGAAAACAACTGAATTTACAACTCCTAGATTAAATAATTTATAATAGCTGCTTCAGCTTTAAGACTTTTATTAATAGGCAGTGATCAGGCAGTTTTTATGTAAAATAAAAATTTTATGGAAATCATTGGAATTCCTACAATAACTTATGTATCAAAATTTTTATTTCATCACAAAAATGACCCAGTTTTCATAAGACATAGGTTCTATTACAGAAACACAGATGCCTTCATCGTCTGCATAACAACTTGTGATGAATATTTACAAGGAAGAGTTTATTTCCATAAAATATCTGCAAAAAGCAAAATTTTCAAGCTTTTTACCACATGCAGAAAGTACTTTTTTATTTGCATAGTTTCTTATACGTAAGTTAAAGTTTTCAATGGTATTTAGCCACCAGCCCATGATAAAGGCCTCTCCCAACCTCCCATAAAAGTATCTATAAAAAGAGGTAAATAAAGGTGTGTGCTACCACAAAAAAGAGGGAATAACCTTCAACCTATTCCAAGAATCAGAGAAAAAAATGTTACAGCAGGAAAAAAGATAAATTAGATTATTTAATGAAATATAAGGCAACAAGAAACAGCCATGGGTCTTGAAGGAAGTAGAAAAATCTTTGTATATCTTCCTTTGTCCACTTTCTGTCATCTTGTACAGAAATACAAAACTCTGTATCATTCAGAAACCTAGTCAGCTCTCTGTCCTGAATGATGCTTTTTGAGGAAGCAGAAAAATCTCCTCACCCCATCAATTAGTTACTGCTACTTTCAAATGATAAGTGGGAAGAAAGGGAAGTACTCAGTATCCTGGGAGATTCCGTTGCAGAAAAGATGATTTAAGGGTGAGATGATACTGTGGCACTGCATTCTGGGTATCAGCTTCTTATATAATCCATATACAGAGTAACAGAGAACAAGGCATTGGAGATAGCTGCTTTATATAAAACTTTTTTAGTCCATTGAGAATGCAGCAGGGCCTATAACCTGTTTCAGGATCTAAAAGGGGACTTTTATTGGCAAGCAGAGGACAGAGAGTGAGGTCAAGAGCAACCCAGGCACCCTTTCTGTGAGGAGGTCTACATGGATATTTCCAAATTCAGGAATAATGAAATTAAGAGCTAAATATCAACACTGGTCTACTAAGAAGTACTGCACACGTGTGGACAGAAAAGAGTATGCTGAAGACTCAGAGGAAGAACTGTCTCCTAAAAATGACTTCCTAGAGGAATCAGAAGTACATTTTAGAAAAGTATTTGGCATTGTTAATATGATATAAGAAGATATGTCCCTGAAAAACAAAGTTGGAAAACCATAAATCAATAAAGATGACTGGCTAAGATAAAAAGAGATTATAGGTGAAATAAAGAAGCTAAAAATGAAGTGACAGGATTTTTACCCACATGGGTGGGGGTAAGTAGATACATACTGTGTAAAATGAAATAATTGATGTAGAAGATAAACACCCACATAAGGCTGGAGAAAAGAACCAACAGATGAAAGAACACTCTAGATCTGGAGGACAGAAAAACCAAGCCTAATTACAGTTGTTTCTGAGAAAACACAAGAGAAGAACTGAAAGAGAAGTAGCAGAGACACAATTTAAAAAACTAAACTGATAAACAGGGCTAAATCATATTCCAAACAATATGCAATTCAAAGCCACATTCTGACAAAAATTTTGAGTCCTAGAATTAAAATTAAATAAAAATCCTTTCATATTCAGGCATGAAAACAAAACAAGTGAAGACACAAGTCAAATGAAAATAAGTCATCATTAAAGGAAAAAATGTCCTGTTGGTCTCAAACTTCTCCTGTGTATCACAGAAGAAAAAGCAGACTCACTCAATCAAAAAAACTATTGCCAGCCAAACTGCCTTTCACTTGTAAAGGAACATGAAAAATAGTCTCCCGTGTTTACAGGCTCTGAAAACATATTGCTCATTAACCTTTCCTCAAAAAGTTACTTAGGCCAATTCCAACCTACTGAGATACAAATAAAAATTAAGAATTCAAAAAGTACAATTTTAGAATAAAAGGACTATGGCTAGTAACATAAAGAATTGCCTTATATTTCATTGTCAAATTAAACACTATTGTTCTTAGGGATAACTTATTATAAAATATGTAACAACAATAATCAATGAATCCTCAGATTGTATTAATGAAAACAGGGAATGAAGAAGGGAAGCATTACATTTATTCTTCTACAGGGAAATTTCAAGAGACACAGTTGTTATGATAATATAGTCAAAGAAGGTTCCTTTAAAAATGTAAAGATGGCCTCTGGTTAAAGATGGCAAAGTGAATGCATGAATTTACCTCCTTGCCTCTATAATGTAGCACTAAACAGGCAGAAGAGGGAATCTGTTAACAGCGTAAACTCATCAGGACGCAGAGAACAGGAGTGAGGGTTAGCAGAACAAGGAGCTGGATCCTGAGCTGTTGGAGGTGCCAAGAGCACTGGCAATCCCAGAAAGACTGCAAGGTACGAACATATATTGGCAGCGATTTTCAACCATTTTCTTCTCATGGCACACACAAACTAATGACTAAAATTCTGCGGCTGATCTGACACACACACGAAAGGTATAACTTCGATTCATTCACAGCTATTGCTGGGTTGGCTGTTGTAATTTGACAATCTAAGGGAAAAGAGGTCAGTGCCCCTGACTAAATAGTCAGGTATTGCATGTTTTAAAACTTCTTGGGGCACACAGGTTGAAAATTGCTGCTCTATTGGAAACAGAGGCCAAGGGATTAGTTTGCCCAAGGCCACACTGTTGCTAAGTGGCAAAACCAGAACCCGTACCTAGCATAGTCCTGAATCTAAGGCTGCTCTCAAATTCCACAGAATTAGAGTGCACTTCTTTGTCTAGAGTAGTCAGTGTGTTCCACTACATTTGTCTGGACATGAAAACCTTTTATATCCATCAAACTTGAAAAATTAAATGGAAAGGTGGTAAAACTCCCACTCACTGAATCTGG